TATATAATCATAAGAATAGTTTCACGGTGGACCCGTATGTATTGAGGGAATGACACTTCATCGTACGTAAAATCAAATCGTTCGTATATTTCCCGTTTCACAGTCCTACATGTATATTGAATTTTACCCACAACTCAGAAAGTTGACCAGCGCGGGGTATGCTTAAACCTCTTATTCTAGATGTCAGGTAACTTACTCGTGTTTATGTTGGATTGCTGTCTGATTGACGAATATCCGTCATTTTACATATATATATAACAAACAAATTTAAATTATATATATATATATATATATATATATATATATATAAAGAAAAGTTAAGTAGAATCCGTATGCTGGTAACATATAAGAAAATTAATAAAAGATAATAACGATTTCAATTCATCACTTTTACTAGCGCTTTCACTGCTTTTACAGATCTTCAGGTAATATATATATATATATTTAAATTTGTTTTTTAGGGATGCATCCAGTTGCACCTTTTCATTTAAAATATATTTCCGTGAAGTAATCTCAAAAGATTACTCACTTCAATAAAAAATAAATAAGGGAAATGAAACCTCTTCTCGCATGTTGCACTTTGTGTAATTGTTCTCTTCGACAAAATACTGCATTGAACTCAATTTTGGTATAAATATAAAGAAGCCACATTTGGTTCTTAAATGGATATTTTTTAAACACCTAAAGCTAGGTAAAGCCTATCTCTTGATATAGGCTCTTAAATTCGGCAACTTTTAGAGACCGACCGTGCTTGGGCTGTATAGCCAGTCAAGGTCGCTAAACTCTCATTATCCGTTTAGAGATTTTCTGAAAATACGATGGTTACTGTCTCATTAGAAACTAAAACCTAATCAAATATGGTGGCCTTCGGCTGTCATCTGCTCTTTTCGGGTTGTTGTCTCTTTGACATATTCATCATTTCCATTCTCAATTTTAAAATAACTAAAAATATGATAAACAGTTGTCAGATCAATATTCATTTAACAAGCCAGTGCGTTGATACAGGTTATATTCTACTGAATTTACTATATCCGTTATTATTACGTAATTATATAAGTCCCGTGTCCAGGTAAAAATAACAATTTGTGGTTTGTATGTCAGGTGAAAGTGACAACGGGTGGTATGTATACTAAAATGTTTATCGTCTTCCATTATACATAAGGGTATGGATGGGGGTTTATAGAATAGAAAATTATTGACCAAAAAATAAAGAATACAAAAAAATAACCAGACAAATATATAGAAAAGAAAATGATGAGGTACTAGAATATATGGAATAAAGAATGATCAACAAAACGTATAACGATTAGAAAAAATTGCCTAAAATGATAGAATACAGAAATAATGAATCCCTATTCAGACCCTCATAATCTGACGATGACATTTAGCTTTAGGACAATTATGGGCATGTGATACAGTTTTAGAACCACAGTGATTTTCTTTAACAAAAGTTCACATATATACAAGCTAATTTTTACAAAATCAATTTGTATATGTAATAAAAATTATATCTTCATGTGCTAAATTTAAAAGACAAATGGGTTTGAATTATTCGACATTAAAAAATTTTCTTATAACATTTCGGTTTCTTGGACATTTTTGTCCTTTGAACAGACATCCTTAACTTTTTTGTTTCAAAAGATAAAGATATGCGGATTTCGGTAAAGAGATTAGGAATATCTTCGTTATAAAATTGGGCTCTACATTTGTGTAACAATTCTTTGTTAATATTTACTTTTTGTGAAAAGAAATTGATACAAGAAGAAAAAACGGTATTTTTGTTGTATATTTATCTAGTTACAAAAAAGTCGGTAATTTCTTCTTAAAAGTTGCAACGAATAATCTTCATACAGTATCAAGCAAAATGTCATGTCTAAAATGAGGGGGCCATAACTGATAACACTTTTTCCTTAAAAAAATGAAAAAATAATTATTTGGATAAGAAAATAACCCAGATATTTAGATATATTTTTAAAAATCATTTAATATTCATCGGTTTATGATTAAATGAAAAATATAGAAAATTGTTAAGTTGTTTTAAAGGAAGGAAAATAATGTTTGTCCCGAGAAAAAAGCCCCCCCCCCCCCCTCCTATAAATGATCATTAATTTACCTAAGTGGGGGCTTAAATTTGGAGACCGATCGCGAGGCCTGACTGCCATAAACAACAGATAACGAACAGCAAACACTGGATACACCAATTGATATGTATGAAAGACAACGGCGGACACAAAATGATTGCACTGAATAATTTCAACTACCATTGAGATCGTTTTTTTCAAATCTCATTATCAAATTAGAAATGCATTTTTAAAAACCTTGGGATATCTTTTACAGTTTGGAATTGGAATTGGAATTGGAATTAAAAATTGCATTTCCCAAAGAGTTTCAGGTAAAACCCCGAGAATCTCACCTCCTAGAAATTTAAAGTGCCAGGATGTTTGAAAATATGTATGAATTTTATTACATACTTGAAATTGTATAAGGAATATAAAAAGATTCAGTATGTTTACTGTACAAACAAACAACAGACACCAAGTGATCATGGATACAATTGTGGCTTATATTGTTTAATTCATTTTTACTGAGAGCAAAATTTGATTAATTGATTATTCAGTGGTTGTTTAAACGTCCAGTGGCAAAAATTTCATGCATATTCAGGACGAAAAGTCGTTTCAGAAGTATATTATGAAGTATTTGGTATTACAATTGTTTAAATGTTCTCATTATTTGGTAAATTTCATTTTCTTAGCTATTTCTAATTAATTTGTACGAATCAGATTTTTCTGACAAATTATATATTTTGCTCTAAATTAACTCATACGATTCTGATAATATAAGGAACATTGTAACTTAAGTAAAAAAAAAGAGATTATGATTGTTTAATCAGTTGTTATGTAAGTTCGCTCGTGTCAGTCGGATCACTGATTTTCGGCAATATCAAGGAAAAACCGGCACGTTCCAAATATTGTTCAACTACTCATTTAATGGTGATTCTTTTTCTTTAAAAATTGGAATTTATGTAATAAAAATCTATCTATCTCTACTATAGTATGAAAACAGAGTACACGTAACACGTCCTTTCTAGTCCTTAGTGGCATATTATAAGTCCTTAGCAGTGTTTAGACGTACAGGCAGAAAACAGTCGAAGGCCACCAATGGGTAGAAAATCCCGCACCGAAGGCGTTTTTCAGCTGGTCCCTAAACACAAATGAATTTTAGTTTAGTGATAATGGACATCATACTAAACTTCGAAACATACAAATATTTCCTAAATTTCGGAACGTAAACATATGATAATTGATTAGTTAAGGTTACAAATTTAGGCAGATAAAAAGAAGGGGGGGGGGGGTCAATGCATTTGAATGGGGACATATGGTTAAAACCACCCCTTTTATCCTGGGTTGAGAACCCTCTTTTTAAAAATGGCTGGAATCGCCACTCTTTAAAACGTAGCAATTTATAAATTATTTATATTAAGTAGAATTATAAAATCGATGAGTTTTATAATTTGACAACACTCATTGATATTGGAAATACTATACTACAATTAATTTTTTTAATACATGGAGTGTTTAGTAAAACTGTCGACCAATCAACACAGAAAGCGAGATATCTAAAATTTGTATACCCTTATAGATTTTCATTATCATACATCAAGTTTAAATGCAATTCCAAATAAAATGGCTTTGAGAACCGTGTATTAAGCGCTTATCGTTCATTCGTCAATGAATCATTCACCGTGCGTGTATCGTGCGTGTATCGTGTGTTCTTCATTCATCGTGCATCGTGCGTGTATCGTGCGTTCATCATTCATCATTCATTTTTCGTTAATCCTCCGTGTAACGCTCATCGCTCATCGTGCGTGTATCGTGTATCGTGCATTCACCGTGCGTGTATCGTGCATTCACCGTGCGTGTATCGTGCGTGTGGTCAGTTTGAATTTTAGAAGGTCTGTACGAGACACAAAGTCTTCATATATGATACATATTTTGCGGATAGTCAAGAGACGCCAATCCTACGAGACACAAAGTCTTCATATATGATACATATTTTGCGGATAGTCAAGAGACGCCAATCCTACGAGACACAAAGTCTTCATATATGATACATATTTTGCGGATAGTCAAGAGACGCCAATCCTACGAGACACAAAGTCTTCATATATGATGCATATTTTGCGGATATGTTTAAACTTTAGGAGAACCAGACATTGCTGTCACGTCAACGTTTTTATCGCATGGTGTATTCATACATCACGGTATGGACATATCGCATGGTGTATTCATACATCACGGTATGGACATATCGCATAGTGTATTCATACATCACGGTATGGACATATCGCATGGTGTATTCATACATCACGGTATGGACATATCGCATGGTGTATTCATACATCACGGTATGGACATATCGCATGGTGTATTCATACATCACGGTATGGACATATCGCATGGTGTATTCATACATCACGGTATGGACATATGCGTGCGATTAGATATGTGCTTGTCTTTTGTGGCTCTATCTATTTTGTATTGTGCTATATTACTACATGTATTATATCAACATTTTGATTTGGAATGTCCCACATTCGCGTTTGCAGTTTAATTTAATACCTTTACTTATGCGGAGCTGGACATGCATACGCTTCGGGAATTTATTTTATTTTTCTCTGTTTTTTTTGGAAAAGATATTGCTGACAATAACCTCTGCTATTTATATTTAGTTATCTCTATGTGTTGGAGTGTCTATCGGTTTTGTATTGTCTTATTTTCTTATGTTTTCTAATACATTTTATAACGTTTTTGTCATTGTATTGTGTCAACATCAAAAACGAAAATTTCCAGTTGAGATCTCAACTTTTCGACAAGTTCATGAAGATTACCTTAGGTTTAATAAAAGTAAATTACTCCATACTTCTTTCATTTTAGATATAAATAATATCTTTGTAAAATTCATATCAGTGAAAATAAAGTATAAAATTATAAATGCATTACCTTCAAGATTTCTTCCAAATGACATCCACTGGCCAAGCATGAGAAAGTGACGTTTTTAATGGAGTGTTTGACCCAGGGGTGTACGGTTTATATCCACGTTGAGCATAAAATGCCAGGATTTCCTTAGCAGCAGTCCCACTTCGCTGCCACATCCATTCCATTAATACAGCTTGGACGTCCACTTGGTCGAAAAAATTTAGACCCCCATTCAAAACGAAATTTTCGTACCCTTCCACGTCCATTTTTATTATGACCTTTTTGAAATCAAATCCAGGTAATTTCAAAATGTCGTCTAACTTTGCTGTCATGACAATGTCTTTATATTGTCCGCCAACGGATGACCCTTTTACTTTATTCATATTTTTATTATTCACAATAAATGTTCCACCGACATTACGTCTATCGATACCGAGAGACACATTTTCTCGTTTGTCCGAAAGTGCATTATAAACAATAGTAATTTTTTCCGTGAATTGTCCCGACTTTATTGAAGCACAGAATCGATGCAAATTTATTGAAAGGGGTTCCACAGCGATTACCTGTCTTCCAAACTTAGCCATGGCGAGGGAAAATACACCAAGATTGGCTCCAAGATCCATAAATTGTAATTCTGCATCTTTACGCAAATGACCAGCCATCAAATTAAGTAAATGTGGCTCCCATGTTCTTGACCGGACTAAGCTTCCGCTCACGTGAATATCTTCATTTGGATTATGGACGTAAATAGGAGTGTCGCCATGAGATGTATGAAGAGTTGCTTTCTTTAAATTTGGCGGGAGATTATCACAAATACTATCGTCTGCATTCCATTTTGTTAGGTCATGACGAAATACGTGAACTCCTGTTTTAAAATTATACTTTGAATGGGAAACTTGTGAAAACGTTCTTGGTGTAATTTTATTTATTGTCTGTGTAAAAGGGAAAAGTACATTTTTAGTCTTAGTTTGATTGGCATTAAAAATGGCTACCGGCATTTGATCAAAATGTCTTCCTGCTTGCCATCCAATCATCAAAGTTATCGTTAAAAGGCAACACACACCAAAACATTCGCTGTTCTTCATCTTGGATTAAACGGCACTGAAAAAAAGAACGAAAATTAAATTACTCAATTTAAAAAAAAAATATTTTAACGCCTCAAGTAAAGCATCATAACAATCAAAATTCTAAAATCTATATCCCATCATACAGTGTGTATAAATATAAAAATAAGAAGTGTGGTATGATTGCCAATGTGACAAATCTCCACAAAAGACCAAATGACACAGACATTAACAACTATAGGTCACCGTACGGCCTTCAACAATGAGCAAAACCCATACCGCATAGTCAGCTATAAAAGGCCCCGAAATTAAAAATGTATTTAACAATTCACACGAGAAAACTAACGGCCAAATAAATGTTCAAAATAATGAAGGAAAAACAAATATGATATACAGCAACAAACGACAACCACTGAATTACAGGCTCCTGACTTGGGACAGGCACATACAGAATGTGGCGGGGTTAAACTAGTTTGAGGCGCCAACCCGCCCCTAACCTGGAACAGTGGTATAACAGTACAACATAAGAACAAACTACAGTGGAGATCACTTCTAACCTCTCATTAGAACTGACAGAATAATCTGTCATAGAACTGTTCTAAACTGTCACAGAACAGTTCTACCCTAGAACTGTTCTAAGGAGAACTGTCAGAATCAGTTCTAGGTAGAAGAGACCAAATCAGTTCTAGGTAGAACTGTCAGGATCAGTTCTAGGGTAGAACTGTCTAAAACTGTTCACGGTAGAACTGTCCAAATCAGTTCTAGTCGTAGAACTGTCAGCCGAACTGACCAAATCAGTTGTAACCGTAGAACTGTCATGATTTTAGAACAGTTCTAAATGACGTCACTGCAGATAGAGAAATGTTAAACAGTGCTGTGATGAGAACTTTGAAATACATATTATATTCTTTTGACTTATTTATATTTAAGACAAAGAGTTCTTAAAACTGTTCTATGGATAGAACTGACTAAATCAATTCTAGCAGTGGAACTGACCAAATCAGTTCTAATCGTAGAACTGTTCTAGTCATAGAACTGTTCTAGCCGTAGAACTGTTCTAGTCGTAGAACTGTTCTAGTCGTAGAACTGACCAAAGATTTGGTCAGTTCTAGGTAGAACTGTCTAAAAAACTGTTCTAGGGTAGAACTGTCAGGATCAGTTCTAGGTAGAACTGTCTAAATCAGTTCTATGTAGAACTGACCAAATCAGTTCTAGGTTAGAACTGTTCTAGCTAGAACTGTCTAAAAGGTGTCAGGATGACAGTTCTACATACTGTCCTAGAACAGTTCTCCTGACCGATTCTGACAGATTTGATGAGATGTTAGAAGTGATCTCCACTGTATAATAATAGTTGATAAAGGCATAACTATTCAGATGGATACAATTAGAAATACATCTAACAAAAACACAACATCCCCACAACAAAAAGACACTAAATACAGATTTGAGAGTACTCGCAGTTACTGACAGCTAGTTCAAAGCCAATAACAACTAAGAAAAAAAATTCATGAATCTAAGAAAAAAAATCAATCAGTACACATCCAACATCCAATGGATTTAGTGTAAAGACGTCATTAACCGTCAGAGAAAAACATGACCCTGTGCAATTCCAAGATACAGGTATCGACAGATTGTAGAGCCATGAATGTGCATATGTATATAAAAAATAATATTTTAGTTTCATTTTAATTTACTGATAACAAAATCATAATTAATACCAATAAAAACAATATTCAAAGATCTAATTACATTGTTGAATTGGTAACCTTTCAGAATAAGTTTATTTAAAAGATCGATAAGTTTACCCGGATCGTATCTAAATTTTCGGGCTCGGTAAACAATATCACCGTAAAAATTAGGATGTGCTATCCCGTTTGAAATAAGTTTTCTATAGATACAATCAAACTTCAAAACCAAATCTTTATATCTATGGAAGTAATTTAATAAAGGTTTTAAGTAATGTGTGGTAACGGAATCCCTGACTTAATAATTTACCAGTAATACATAGATTAGTTTCATTGAAATCCAAAACGTCACAACAGACACGGGCATAGCGAACGAATTGTGATATATAAACACCGTAAGATGGTGTCAAAGGAACATCGCCGTCCAAAAAAGGAAAATTAACAATAGGAAACGAAAAATCGTCCCTTTTGTCGTGAATTTTAGTGTAGGTTTTCCCGTGTAAAAATGAAATATCAAAATCTAGGAAAGAACAGTTATTACCGTTTATATTTGATTTATTTAGAATAAGTTCCTTTGGGTAAGTTTCGGCAGTATATTAAGAAAATTCTTGATTATTTAACGAAAACAAAATTATCAAGATAACGGTAAGGGTTGTTGAATTTATCAATTAAATGCAATTTAAACGGGTCTTTACTGAGTTTGGTCATACACTGTGATTCATAACAGTACAAGAACAAGTCTGCTATTAAAGGGGTGCAATTGGTGCCCATAGGAATACATACTGTACAACCTGTCGATAAACTTTATTGCCGAAACGTACATAAATATTATCAAGGAGAAAATTAACAGCTTCAATCATCTCATCACACCTCCAGTAAGTATATCTAGAGAAGAAGGCTTTAAATGAGTTGAAGCAAATATATTTACATTCAGATTACGACCATTTAATTAAATAGGAAAACTTTTGTTTGATAAGATTTTGTTGAAGTGTAGCGTAAAAGAGTTGAAAAATCAAAACTGACAACAGAATCAAAAGGACCATCAAAAGCACCTAATTTGTCTAAAACATCCAAAGAATGTTTTACACTCCAAAAATAGTAAATATATCTGTTCCACTTGACTTATTGTTGTAAAGAACATTGTAAAAACTGTCAACTTATCAAAACTATCGAATTATTTGAAATCTATTTAGAAGTTCATTAGCTGATGTTAGATGGTTAATGTATGGTCTTACCATTAACATGTTAAACAATATATCATGTGACTATCAGCAGTGAACATTCTTTCATACGGTATCACACGAGGGTCTGGATGACGGTCCTTCATTTCTTTATTCTTTCATTTTTTAAACTATTTTTTTCTAAATCCTTTATCAATTTTTTTTAGTATTATCTATTCTTCATTTTTATTTTGTTGCCTCTTATTCTTTATACTTTGTGCTCTTAATTCTGCACTTTTTGTTTATTATTCTCTTTTCTCTATTCTATAATCCCAAATCCACTTGCATTGTGTTTTTGTGGCTTTTGTTTTGGTTTTCAGTGTAACCAATATATCTGAAATTGTTGTTTTGTCTTGTCTTAGTTTTACTATGCGTATCCAGATATTTGAAATTAGTGGTTTATTTTTGTCTTATTTTTACCATCGGTTACAAGATGTTTGAAATAAGTTGTTTGTTCTTGTCTTATTTTTACCATCGGTTTTAAGATATTTGAAATTAGTGTTTTGTTCTTGTCTTATTTCTACCATCGGTTTCAAGATATCTTAAATTAGTGGTTTGTTCTTGTCTTATTTTTACTATCGGGTTCAAGATATCTGAAATATCTGAAATTAGTGGGTTTTTGTGTGTTTTATTTATACTATGCGTTTTACTCATAATTGTAGTGTTCAGTTTACTGTAAAAATTGGACGAAGTTTTCCAATGATTACAGTAAAAAGACAGTTGTTCGAAAGTTTAGACCACAATACATATATACATATACATGTATAATATTAGGAGCATGTTCAAAGATTTCATACTCGATTGTCATGTTATTTTGTCTATTTAAGAGGGTCTGGATGTGGTTTACAGAATAGAGCATGATGGGCATAAGAAATAATGAATAGAGAAAATATTTTTTAAAATAAGATGAAGCAAAAATGAGCAAACAAAATAAAAAAATAGGGAAAATGGTAAAAACTAAAAAAAAAACACAAATGAGGCTCCCTTCAAAAAGTCCCTCTTCAAATATGTAAATATATGGTCATCTATGTTAAATGCATTATACTAGAAGTCTTCGCTTTCAATCTCACGGTCATTATTTATCTTAACATTCAGTTTCCGTTAACTTGATTACCATGCAGTTATCAGTTTCCCGAATCTATAGTGTTTCCGATCAAATAAGGAAGTACCAGTTCTAAGAAAAAATCATTTATAATTTAATAATTAAATAAATTTCAAACTGGATATTTTTCAAAATCGATCTCCAGGGGGTGTTTTCTTAAGCGAACCTAAGGAGGATTCCAAGAGTCAGATCAATACCTCTCGGGGGAAATCACCAATAAATCGTAAAGGTTGACAGGTCTGCCTGGCCCACTGGCGCCTACCTGCCAACTTCTCAAAATCTTAACGCATTCAAACATAAGTTATAAGTGTTTTTGAGCTAATCAATGATATCATGGTTTTATTTTAGTATATGTGTGCTTAAATGACATTTCAACTCTTTTAAATGCCTGTTTTGAGGAATCTTAATTCATATAAAAAAAAACTAAAAAGGTGCGCATTCAGAGGGAGAAATTTCTGTCTGTAAATACTATTAAATACAAACATATCTATATCAGTTTACACGTGCTTTGGTGTTGTTTTCAGTGATTAGTACTATATGATACGGAATACTGAAAACAAAACCAATATTTGTAAAAGAACATTTGTGTTGACCTTCATGTTGTCAGTTACCAAAATGGCTATAGATGTATGCAAATGTCTACAAATGTCTCAGACAAAATTTCTGCCCCTATCCAAGATACACCCTTTTTCGAATTGGAGTCTTAATTTCCAGTCCTTCCGGTTATTCCGATCAACTCACTTTACAGAACGTACATACTGGGCGTACTGTGAATTTAACCTGCATATTCATGAAATATTTTCCACTGGACGTTTAAAAATTAACAATCAATCAATCTTTGAACACTATTCCATTAATGTATATTTTCTATTTCGAGAAGAAGAAAAATTATTAAACATATTTTATTCTGGATACCTCAATGATCTGGATGAAATGATCGATATATTGAAACAGTATACTTCACAGATTGATGAAAATGTCTTTAAAAACTTTTAAAAATTTAATATTTTGCAAAACGACTGAATTTTGT